AAAATCAATGGAAAAATTAAACCTCCTATATATCAGACAGCAACGACGGCAGACGGGACTGTAACCTGCACTGACTCAGCAAGGAGTGTGTGAGTGTGTGAGTGGAATCACAACCACCTCAGGTGGGCGGGGCCACACCTTTTGGCCAAAGTTTTAAAGGGCGGCTGGGTCAGTGTTGGAAATCATTGTAATAAAATCTATAAGAATAAAGCTAAACTTTCAAAAGATAATTTGGCACATTTCAGGTCTGCCGCCACCTAGTGGCACCAACAGAAATGACAGTTGATTCGCTGTAATGTATGAAACAGCAGGACTGACCAGACCTTGATCCAGTTGTGACGGTCCGGGTTAGAAGGCCCAGTGGGCTGTATCTGGTCCACAGGCCGTAGCTTGTCCAGGTTTTCCCTGAGGAGTAAGGAGGTACAGGAATTGTCATTAGACATTCTTATCTTTTTGGCTAACATTCTACTGTTACAATAGTCACTACGCTATTTTAGCTCATTTTAGGGAGTTCTTTAAAACCTGAAAGTATTAACTACTGTATGTTCTCTGTCAGGACGGAAGGAACACTTTCTGCCATTTACTGCTATCATTTTTACCTTTTAAATTGTCACTTAAATCATTCCCAAAGACTGGGTCGCAACCCTCGGGTGGGTCGCAAGAGTTTTTTTTTTTCGGCTCGTCTCGCATCATGTTTCCCAGGAGTTTCAGAATAATGTCTATTGACCTGGGTCACCAAGGTTTGTGACTTTTAAAATATGGGTCCCCAGAAGAAAAGTTTGGGAAACACTGATCTAAATCACTGTTTGTTTAGGTTCATGCTAACCTCCAGTTATCATTGGACTGCTCGAGCTAAAGATTAGCTCAGAGACAGGGCAGACTTGGCTCAGTTAGCACACCGAGGTGAAAGAACGGCACTCTCCATTACAGGAATAGCTCTGTGTGTGTGTGTGTGTGGTTGTTTTATATTAATACAGTGAACAGATCAGGATGTTGTGGGGTAGAGTTGGCAAAATTGGCAAACATGTCTGTCTGTGAGCCACTGGATGAATTCCACCCTGTATCAAGATGCTATCATAAATCTCTCTCTCTCTCTCTCTCTCACACACACACACACAGACAGACAGATTGTGTGTCTGAGGCTGCTCCGTCCACCAGGTCTTTACAGGATGTTTGACCTCTCCAGACCACTGGGCTGAGCAGCCGAGTGTCGGCCAAGACTCCTCCACTATTACACATATCAAATTCCAGCATCAATGATAACCTCCTCCTCCTCCTCCTCCTCCTCCTTCACCACTGCTGCTCTGGATAATGTGGACTGTCATGGGGGGGGGGGGGGGGGGGGGCTGCTTTAAGGAGAGGAAACCTGGATTTTTTTCCCTGCAGGTTTGAGATTATGGACTCAGTGGAGGGAGAGGAAGGACTCTGATTTGGAGCAGGAGGTCAGCTATGAAACTCAACTCCTCCTCCTCCTCCTCACCACCACCACGAACGTTTGTCCTCCTAATATTGATATTATTATGCTCTTCAGATGCTGAAACTGAAACATTATGAACGACGTCTTTGCCGAGGGGGGGGCGAACATGGAGAACATGGAGACACGTCCACTCCACGTCCACTCTGCCAAGAAGCCATGATTTATGGAAGCCCACCATCTGTTGCCACAGAAGACGTTGTACAAGAACCAGTGTGTCAGAGTGGATACATGGTCACGCATGTGCATGTCTCCATGTCTGTGTGTGTCTGTGTGTGTGTGTGTGTGTGTGTGTGTATGGAGACAGGGTTACTGGTGACAAAGTCACACAGGCTCATGTGGACGATGGATGAGGTGATACAGTGATGTCTGCTGATCTTCTTACTGCCACTCTGGTGACCTGAGTGCGCACACACACACACACACACACACCCACACACACACACACACACACACACACACACAGCATCAGTCTGCAGCTGACAGTCATTCATTCACTTCAGTGACACACTGGGTCTATATCTAAATGGAGGGCTTTCTCTGGATTGGAGATGCTCCAGCAGACACACACACACACACACACACACACACACACACACACACCGTCAGCAGACGGCTCTTGACGAGTGACACGTTTTCAAATCCAGGCTGTGGCTCCGCCCACTCGCTCCAGAAGACAAAAAAAATGGAGAGAACATTTTTGTCACACCTTCTTTTCACCCACTCTCTGACCCTTCAACACACACACACATACACACACACACATACACACACACACACACACCAGCTCGCGGTGTGTTTGCTTATACTTCATGAAAGCCTCTCATTAACCCACAGGGCGACCTCCTCCTCCTCCTCCTCCCCCCTTCTATTGTGCTCCTATCTCCCACGGCATTCTGGGTAAAGTAGTTTGACAATGTCAACCTGATAAGCCCAACACAAACCTGCTGATAAGGAGTCGAAGAGCTGCACTCCACGTCTGTGTGTGTTTAAAGGCGTTGGTTGATTGGAGGAAGGGGGGGGGGGGTGAAGACAGGGAAGAGGATGTAAAAACACTCCTGCCCACCTTGGGATAAAGTGTGACCTGGTGTCGTGTCCTTTCTGGGACCAGTTCTGGCATCGGTCCTTATTGCTGTTGGACCATTAGTTCTAACAGGAGCCAGAACCTGATCCAATGATGCAGAACCTCCTCTGAAGCTCTGCTCAAACGAAGGAAGAACAGAAGACAAGGATTGGAGGAAACACAACGTTGTAACAGGAAGTGTAACTCTAAAGCGTTCGTTATAACTGGTGAAGCTTCACCTTCAAACAGAAGGACAAACCCGGAGTCGGTTTGGGTGAAGTTCTGGAGAGTGTGGAACAAACCAACTGGAGTCACTGCAATCAGTCCTGACGAGAGCAGCTGCGACTGTGTTGTGTTTGTGATTTAATCTATGGATAAGGACCATTAGCAGAGCTATTCAGCAGAGAAGGGTGAGTCAACTTTTCCTGTATTGACAAGTGAAGCAGTGAGAAAGAAAAATGTCCGGGGAGTCGCCGGCCTTGTAAAAACACGGCTCGGAGGAAAATAAAGTTTACGCCATAAAGTCAACAACAACGCTGCTGCTGCTGCTGCTGCTGCTGAACGCCTCCGTCCAAACCGCCATAAGGTGGCTGCACTGTAATTTGGGGTCAAAGGTCAATCCCGACACATTTACTTTACAGGCTCCGCTTACTGTGCGATAAAAAAAGGTGCGAATCCTCGGAGGAAGTCTGACATAAAACGCAATAAATTTCTCTGCACTTTGTCCCAGAGACCCCTCACCCTGCAGGGGATCGTCTCCACTGTTCTCCTCACGTCTCACATTACAAACCACACAGTGTAGAACACGGTTCTCTTAAGTCATGAGGACCATCGCAGATATGTAACACCAGACTGAAATAATACAGCTAATATATGGTGTGTATTTATATATATATATATATATATGTTCAAGGGGGAAATACATGACACTGAGAGGCCCAGTGGAAACAAATAAAACTAAATAGATTTTTAGAAATGTCTACAAACTTGTAGAATTCTTAATCACTTAAACAACTATTGTTTTATTCTGAAAATTGTTGATTTTATACGATTAATATTTAAATTGTGTAAAAAAACTATTACAATTTAAAAAAACAAAAATAAGCTAAGGTCATGTTTTGAATTTTTCTTTTTTTTAAATTCTTACTCGAGTCATGGACACCCTTTGGACGAGAGTTGGACTTTCCAGGATGGAGTTAATTTAACTCCAGTTCCAGAACTAGACTCCACGCCTCAGTCCAGATCCAGAGGTGTGACATCATTCACAGAGGGCCGTAAGCAAACAGGACATATAAACACAAACAGACACGGAGGCAAACGCTTCCTCCAAAAACAACAGCTGGAGGACGAGGACACTTCAGCACACATGGAAAAAGGTTCACCATCAGGACGGACTGGTCACAGAAATCCCAGTCAAAACACGCCATTCGAGCTTCTACTCACATTTGGACTGGTGGGCGGCCATCTTTGTTGTGGCCTCGGTCACACTTCAGTTCTTTCAGGACCTCAAACCTCAGCAATGGTGTAAAAAATAGGACAAAAGTCAGCAAAAGTCATGTGATGTTGTTGACTGTCACTTCCAGACCAAAGTGAGCGGAGAACCTCCGCCTGATGATTGTCCTCAGCTGTGACTGGACATGTGACTGGACAACAGCTGCTGATTGGCTGCAGGGGTTTGAGCCCAAAAGACAGAAAATATTGGAGCTGGAGAAAAATGAAGAATATAAAAGTTTTAGAATATGCTTCCATAGTGTAGAGGATTCTTCATCTCCACCATCTCTCCTCAACACGTCTCATCTCTATGTAAATATGTCAAACAAAGTGTTGAAACCAGTGGAAAACTTGAAAATTGGCCCAGAATAAGAAAATAAATAGAAAAAAAGTAAAGAGAACTTTTGACAAAATTACTTTGGAAAAAATTCAAAAATGACAGAATAGGACAAAGAGTTTAATTTTCTACATGGGTGCTCACACACTGGGCCAACAGAACCAGCCCAGTGACGACTGATACTGGTGTCCACGCTGGTATGTACCAGCGGATAATAATGTGTTCACACACACACACACACACACACACACAGAGTGTGTTATATTTGCAGGCTGAAATCCAATCACCTGGCTTTGTTCCCTTAATGGTTCTGTTCCGTTTTTATTATTGTGAATACCTGACCCACCTGTACCGCCCGAGGAGACGCGCTCCTGCCCGTGGACCGTCATGAATCAATGCTGGATACGGTTTCCTTTCTCTGCCCATTCTGCCCTTTTCTTTTAGCTTCAGCTACAGTTTCAAATGGCTTCATCTCCGTGCCTTCCTCCTCCTCCTCTTCCCCTCCTTCTCTATTCTTTCTCCTGCACTACATTTTCTTTACCGCCACCAAACGATCGACATTGATGAACACAGAGGGACATTTAGACGCAGCAGGGACGATAAAAAAAGAAACTCTACCACACCAGGAGTCTTCATTTTTATAAGAATCTTATTTTAATGAAACACAAAAGGCAATAAAATTAAGATAAATAATTTTTCTTTTTGTACACAAGGAAACATTTAAGTCATATTTCCGGAGAATGACTGAAATTACATTATATACTTTAGTAGGCCTTCGCAACCGTACAAAGCAGGTTCCAGTGGGTCTAAAAAAAAAGAAAAAAAAGAAAGGTGTTTCGGTCAAAAAGTTATGGTTCCAAGTGAATCCAGTGTTTCTTAAAGAAAATACAGCTTTTTAAGAAGAGAAATCAATTAAAGACCCACAAAAAACTGTTAAAAAACAACACAGTTTCACATTAGATTCATTTTTAAAGCTTTTGCTTTGCAGTGTAACAGCAACATGGTTGTTAAAAGTCAGTCGACGTCTTTAAAAAAACCAAAGGCATTTGTGTTCCTTCCCTCCCCTGTACATCCTGTCCACTGACACAGGCTTGCATAAACAGCATGACAATGGTCAACAACAAACAAACAAACAAACAAAAAAATACAAAAATTGAATTAAAAAAATACACACACACAGGCTCGCACATACATACGCAGACATTTTTGGCAAAGCAGGAATAAAAGTGACAAGAAATATCATTTTAGATTTGATCCTGATTTCCTTTCCAGAACTGTGCAAAGGTCTTGGGCTACCGTTAGCTTTGTCGTTGTGGCTTGTTGTCGGTGACCAGCCATGTGTATTTGAACTGTATGTCGCGCAAACGCTGCTACCAAGTGCTAACAAGCTACTATGTTACGCTGCTTTTGCTATTGCCCAAACCCAGAAGAACAATTAGCTAGGAGTTAGCACATGCTACTTTAACACGCTGAGCTACGTGCACATACATGCAGGAGTAAACCAAATGTGGTTCATTATATATTAGTGTATACGTTAACTTAATAGACAATAATTCTTTTCTCTAATTCTATGTGAGCACGTGTGCTAATGATTAGTATTTTCACAGGTCTTCATTTTGGATACTTTCTCCTCAGGGAGAAGCTGTACACTAGATAACTGCAGTTTCTCCGTGTATCCAGGTTTGAGGCCCATAAACTAAAATATTACAGGAACTTGTCAGCAGACAAAGAACTCTAAAGGTGGACCACAGACTGTTGCACAGTACTGTATGTATGTGTGTGTGTAGTTTTCCTATTGACTGGCTGATTGTCCTTCACAGTCACGTGACACTGTTCTGGTTGTCATGGAGACCTCAAGTGCATCAGCTGAGGCGGCGCACAGACAATTGTTGCCGCACGGGTTCTCAGAGGCTGTCATAGCAACCCCGGGTGAACAGGAGCAGACGTCCATTCTCCACTTCTCTAAACCCCTCTGTGATTGCAGGGACCCCGGACTCAAATTGATTGAATGTCGTGTTTCTGATTTTTTTCTTCTTCTTTTTTTTCTCTCTTTTTATTTAATGCTTTTAAGTGTAAAGTCACAGGTGCTTTGGTATGTTTTTTTATGCCAGATAAATATCTATATTTATAAAGGGAATACAGGCTGGGGTGGCGTAGGATGAACGAGATCCAAGGATCAAGAACTTGAGACCTGGTCCACACACAGTTGGCTTCAACTCCACAGTTTTTTGTGGTCGACACCAAGATGTACAAAATACGTCCAACTGAAAAATCTTCACTTTGTCTTTCATTCCTGTTGAGTGTTTCTGTCCATGAAAAATATTGTCTATTATGGCACAAACATTTTGGGGGACGTCTTCCAACCAATCAGGTACTGATATACAACGTGGTTGTACAGCAAAGACACAACCCTCTCAGCTGTGTGTGGACCGGCCTTGAAGAACCTTCTCCAGGATCAGTGACAACAAAAAGTGCCTGACAATTAATGCACATTCTAGACCCAACAGAATGAAGGAAAAAAAGAAATAAAAAAAGATTTGGACAGATTAAAAAAAGAGCTTTTTTCATCTTTTTTTTTTTTTTTGATTTTCATTATAAAACCCTTTTCCCACCTTGATCCACTGTGTTTCTACTCTGTAGTCTTCACATCAGTTTGTACAAGTTTCCAATCTTGTTCAGTGCACTGAAGGAGAAGAAGACTCAGCTCAGACTCCTCCCTCCATCACCCACCCACCCACCCACTCTAAAAAAATCTAAATAAAATAATTTTCCTCTGCAAAAGAAATCCAAAAAAGGAACAAATATATATGTATAGGTATTTACAATGTTATATTACACATAATGCTGTACATCAAACACACACACACTCCCACACACACCCATTCACACTCCAATAAACGCTCCAACTACCTGTACATGTGTCTCCACACCTGAACGTTAGGTGTTTGAGACGGAGAGGTATCGACGTGTATGGCTTGACAGGAGAAACAAACGAAGAAAATCGTTGGACGTTTTTTGTCTTTTTTTTTTTCTTTTTCTGATGAGCAAAGACAGAACAGATAAGTGTAATTAAAGACACACCCAGGAGGGGGTGTCGTGACGTCATTGTTGTTTGATGAGCACAAACTCATGTTAAGCGCTTTTTTCTTTTTTTTTTGTTACTATAGAAATGCCAAACGCAGTCATCAGCCGCCCAGCAACACACACACACACACACATATTTACATATGCAAGCTCGATCAGCAGTGCTTTTTGGTCCTGTTGGGTACCCCCTCCCCTGATCGTGTCGTCCTGGTCTCCTACCAGTATAAGACCATTAAAACCATCCACAGCAGGATGGACAGCCCAGGTTCCTGTTCTGTCCATCCTGCTTCTGAGTCTCATTGTATTCCGTGAATCCTGGGACACATCCACGCCGGGTAGTTCACTGTTAAAAAGAAAATCAATTCTGTTCCCAGGACTGACTGGCTTTTTTAAAAGGCTAAAGGCTTCTTTGCCAAACAAAAATGTCCGCTTAACTTCAATGCAGTTTTCCAGAGCCTTCCGTCTCTTCACTTCTATCATCAGTTATTGCAGCAGATCCCAGCTGACGTTGGCCGACCAACCCGGCCCAGCCCAGGAAGTCACCTCTGAAGTCTGGACAACTGCAAAGTCCTGATCTGGACAGCAGGGTAAAAATAACTAGAACAGTGTGGGTGGAGCCCAAACTGACCCCATCCTGGTTGTGAGCTACTGTTCTGTAAGTGCTCACCTCCATGGTTCCTGTTCCTAAGTTGCAGCAACTCTTCCACCTGGCTGTGACCAGTAGTTTTAGTCCACACCTGTGGGCGACCACCACTGAATAACATGGGCCAGAGTTTTCTCCACGTCCACCTGGAGTCCTACTGAGGCCCAGTACTGCTGGACATCATCCAGTGGACTGTGTTCCTTTTTGGACAGACTGAACTCTCACCTCAGGGTTCTATCCGTCCACAGTTCTGAAACACCACCATCGCACTACGATGTACGCAGAGCTTTGGGTCAAAACTGTTTTCAGGCGACGCCTTCCTGTTGTTAGAACTTCTAGGACACAATGGCCATGCCGTCCACACCGATCAGCTGACCAGTCGTTGGTTCATAGGTTCCGGCCAAGTAGAAGAGGTCGTTGGCTGGGCTGTCTGGTTTGCGTTCTCGCACCAGCAGATCGTACTCAGCCTTGCTGACCACCTGGCAGCGGTGGGAAATCGTCTGGACATCATTTTCGTCCTCGTGGCTGGACTGGTACAAGGCGTTCTGTGGGGGAGACGCAGTGTTTTCAGTTGGTCAAAATAATGCAGTGAAAATCTCTGGGCTAATAGTTAAGTTTGTGGTGCTTTCTTTGGCACGACTGTGGTTTTCCCTCCCACACAAACCTCTCTGACTCCCCCTTAATGACCTTTTTGTGTCCACATGATGTCGGTTCCTCGTGTTTACTTGGTCTTCCTGGATGTTACTACTGAAACTGCCCAACTCTTTTTAAACCTACTCCAAACAAACCAGTATTGACTCTGCCAGAAATGTAAAAGGCATGACTTCCTGTTGGCAAATCACACCCCCAACAACGGGCGTTTAGAACAGCAAACATTAAGTTTCAAGAACTGAGTCAAAGTTTTGCTCACATCGGATGAGAAAAGGGAATAAAAAGCAGTGCAGTGGTTCGATTCCTGTTAAAGAAGTGTCACAGACTGCTACTCTGACCATTCCACTTTTAGAAATCCTCCTCGCTGCGGCCAGTCCTTACCTTGCCGTCTCGGTGTCTCTTCCCCAGGCGAGTCTCCTCAGGGTGGTAGAACCACTTGACCCTGACTACCATGCTGGAACTCCAGGACTCCCACAGGCTCTCCACCCTGCCCACGTAGGGCAGCTGCGGCCGGCCAGGTGACAGGAACACGGCACAGTCACCGACACGCACCGTCTCCTTGCCTCTCACGATGGCTTTGTAGAAAAGCTTGCGGGCTTTACCTTTCAGACCTCTCCTCTGTTGGGGTGAAAGAAAAATGACAAATAGCATTACCCTCACCGTCTCTTTGTTCAGCAGAGAAAACTATTTCCACCCACAGCATCATTTTTAGATTTCTCTCTGTTTTCATCAACATCTTTGGATTCTCCCATCATTCACAGTGCATTCATATCAAGGTCAGACATTAGCAGTGACTTGAGGTAAAGTGTTCTTGAAAATGCCCTTGAAATTCTCTTGGTGAGAGGGAGGCTTTTAAATGCCACAATAAAATGTAATAATAAAAGAGAAAAAAGAAATATAAACAACAGTATGTTAATTTCAGGTTTATGAAAAATGTTGGGCACAAAGAAATTGAAAATTTGAAAAAATGCTAAACTAAAAAGGCAAAAACTAAATGTAATTCAAAACATTAAAAATAATGAATAGAAATACAAATAAGATAAAACTGGGTTAAGTATTCTGTCAGAAAATATATTATATATAAAACAGCTTAAAAGTAGAAAAAATACTTTTAGAAAAAGCTCAATGTGAAATGTAATGAGCCCAGCAGCTGCAAACTACATTTGGGTTCTATAGGCTACGAAGAATTTGTCAAGAAGAAGGATTTTTCACAGTATTTAAACACTATGAACAGGTCAAGTTTGATTTCTGTAAATTGTAACATTTTCTCAGAAGTCAGGGTGAAAAAGAATCAGACAGATGTTTACTTCAGATCAGAAGATTCATTCACACCTGTGTGGGATTTCCAGACCATTTCCACAGCTGGCGTCCATGCAACAGAGGAGACAGGTTGGGGTGAGGCTCGGGGGATGACATCCTCTGCCTCTTAGCTGATGATGATTCCTTGTTGACAACAGGTTTCTGTTGTTGGTTGACAGGACTGCTCTGCCTCTGGTGGTGGCTGTTGGGAATGCCGTCCTTCCGTTTCAGAGTCTTGGTTGTGTTACTGCTAACAACCAGACTTCCCTTGGACACAAACTCCTTCCTGTCGTCTGATCTGTCCGACCTCAGCTTGGATCCTGACGAGGCCATGTTGGCTTTGGCCACGTAGCCTTGACTTTGAGCTGAGGCGGCAGGAGTGGAGCTGGAGGTGGTGGGGTTGGAGTTGACCAGGTTGGAGCTCTGCCTGTGTTTGTTCTTATCCTGTTGGAGCAGAGCTCTGCGCAACAGCACCGATGAGGACTCCTCATCGGACGAGTAAGAGGAGTCATTGTCGGAGGAGCAGAGGGACGAAGAAGAGATGGAACCGGATGAGGAGGAGGAGGATGAAGACGAGGAGAAGCACACAGAGAGACGGGAGTGGAACCGGCCGCCTCGATGCGAGGCAACGGCAGCACTTCTTCTACGTACTTCTACATCTTGACCGTCGTCCTCGTCATCCTCATCCAGTTCAGAGTAAGAGCTGGGACAGTCACTGGCGTAGTCCAGACTGTAATCTCCACCTTGGACACTGGCGCCTCCTGACAGAAGATCCTTCCTCAAAGGTGGAGCTCCCTTCCGAAGAGCCTCGGACTCAGTTTCATCTCTCTCTCTTTGGGTTTTCTTGCCGTCCTTCACTAACAGTGACGGGTGGATGTACCTCAGTGGTGCCCCTGAAGAGCTGACACTCTTCCCTGCTCTACCTCCACCTCCGAATCGTAGCAGGGCCTTACCGTTTTTTGTTTTGGGAGATGTGACTCCCTCATGGTCAAGCTTCACCAGGTACTGTTTCCTGTCCCGTTCACTTAGTGGCTTCCTACTGCTGTCTGTCAAAGCCATGGTGACAGGTGAGGTGCAAGAGGAGGCAGAGGAGGAGGAGGATTCACAGAGCCCCAGGGGAGCAACCGCGGTGACTGGTCTCCCAGCACCGCAGCTTCCAAAGGTTGAGTAACCGTTAGCAATGCTGCTAAAGGAGTCCACAGCAAAAGGAGAACCAAAGATGCCTTTGATTGGTGCTGGAGGCAGGAGAGGATGGGAGGAGGGTCGGTGGAACAAACCCAAGTCTCGCTCTCGTATTCTCCTCTGGGTCTTGCGTGACGTGCCATTGAAGAGGAAGAAGTCCACCGGCGGTCTTTTCCTGGGAGCAGACCAGTTCAACAGAGACGGGATGTTTTTTGTTACAGTCTCTGTTACGGAGGTGGACGCGCTGCTAGTCTTAGGCACCGCGTGAATCTTCTTGGGCCTGCCAACTGAAAAAGGAGAAAGGCTTAGCATCAGTCTGAGCTGACAGGTCTGGAGAAAACACAGAGATTAATTATGGAACAAAAAGCACAGTGGAGGAACCTAATATCCTTATGTCTTTGATCTTCACCTGGCCAGGTACTTTTCCACATGTACATCAGTCAAACTGCTACAAACCTGGTAAACCTGTCTCTGGGCCACGCCTTCACTGCTGTACTGGCTGGGCTACAAAGAAGCCTTCGTCACCTGCCTATATGACTCTGCTGATCAGTGAACTGAGTGATGACTGAAGATTATAAGCTGATGAGATCTCGGAATGTGAGTTCACCTCGAAGCTGTATGATTCAGATGTTAAATGTCTCTGAAAAATCCAATCTACCAACCTAGCATTTTTGTGTATAGTATGATACCTATATAAAAAAGCCTTTGATTTTAGGGCGTGTCCAAACTTCTGTTTTGGTGTTTAATGGTTTAAAGTTGGAACTTAACATGTCAGGTCTGGTGGTGGTGCTCATTGATTGGTCGGTCAGATTCTTGGCTCACCTGGTCTTTTCTCCTGTGGTTTCCCCGAGGCTTCTTCATTGGCTGACTTCTCCGTTGATGCGTCTTTCTTCTCATGGATGGAGCTTCGTCGACCACGGCGACCAGGTGAGATCAGAAGAGCTGGGGAGGGTTCAGCACCTGAACAACAAGAGATTGTTTTAAAATCTCTGGTTTCTATTCGTTAAACTTGAGGGAAGTGCAATGAAGTGCTGTACTGACAGCGTATTTGGTATCCAGGAGGCAGGAGTCTGATGTTGGCAAGTGAGATCCTTCCTCTGTCTCCATCATCAAACTCCACCATCACACCACCGTCCTTCTCAGGTTCACCTGGGCCTCCTGAGAACAGAGAGAACAAAAGGACACACTTTTAACTAAGGAAGTTCCAAAAGACGGATGAATTATTTTATCATTTATACTGAACTGGAATGAGCTGTCTGACTGACTCACCTCTGTGGACATATCCAGGGTAGAGACAACGAGAACGTTCACTCCAGTAGGCGCAAACTCTTGTCCCTGCAGTCAGGATGGTTTCACACTGCGGCCGAACATCTAAAACCTAGAAAAATAACAACAACAACAACAACAACAACACAGGGTTAACTCTGGACAAAGAGTGAAAACCAGTGTTGGACGTAGTGAAATTCCAACTCACTGCTTCCTGCAGGAGCTGCTCCAACGAGTAGATCCTGGGCCGATTCCCTCGTTCTCCATCAATTACAACACTGAATCTAAAAAAAAAAAAACAGGGAAGGAGGGAATTAAATGAGGGAAATTAAATTCTTCCCCACAGAGTTGCTCGTTTGATAGTTAACATATGTAACTGGTTTAAAAAGCAAACATGAAATCACATCAGTTTTCCAAGCTGAACTTTCTACAACATGTCAGCTGAGCTGCGTTACGCTCCGGATCTGCTGGCTCTCACTGTGGTGTGTCTTGGCCTGGTGCTGGTCTAGACTTCCGTCTGTCAAGACCCTCTCAGTAGCCAGTCAAGTAACACTGGGCTGCAATTGATGACGTTTTGCAACATGTATTTACAAATACTCCCAGCATGACACTCCTGGGGTTAGGAGACGACTGCCGTCACCATGGTCATTACATCACGACGAGGTCTTACATGTCAGGTAGATCCAAAGTCTGGACACAGGCGGCGTAGAGCAGCTCGTCCTCTTTGGAGATGAGGATCTTCAGACCATCTACCAGCATCTCTTTACTCAGCACACAGTTGGGGAGAGCTGCAGGGGGACGGGGGGAGGCAAAAGATGTAGGATGTGGGGAGGGGGGGGGTGCAGAGGACGAAGGGGAGCAGATCAAAAAATGTACATTATTTGTAAGGTGTGTGTGAGTGAGAGAGTGAGAGAGAGAGAGAGAGAGAGACTTTTAAACTCTGCATGCAGACATTATAAATCACATGTCATAGTTTGTGCATACCAGGTATTCTGCATGGCATATTAGGAGGAAGTTGAATTGACTTCTTCTCATTGGCTGCTTCATCCTTTTCCTCCTCTTCATCCTCCTCCTCCTCTTCATCATCTCCCTCAGAGAAGCTGCTTTCCTCATCTAACCGAAAGCCGTCGTCGGTTGCAAAGCTCTGCAGGAGGCGGCTCACGGCGTGACCCTTGGCCTTGACGTGCAGAAACAGGAAGTGATGTCACACACCAAGTTACAAACAGTGGGAGAGGCCACGTATTTGAATCAGCCGAGAGTCAAAAAAAACTGTGATGGTGAATGAAAAGAGGGGCTTCCAGACGGGTGTGATTGATGTGGTAAATCCACCAGTGAACAGTAACCGCAGGCTGCAGCGCCTCTTGTAATGTGATGCTTCAATTAAGTTGACAGAAATTTTTTCTTCTTCTTCTTCTTCTTCAGCTGCCTTAACTGTTCACTCAGAGATCAGAGGTCACAGTAATAACCCGCACAAACTTCAACGTATGTGGCTGAAGGACAGTTCAAGCAAAGAAGGACACAGCTTGGACAGAGCACGTATGTGAATTCTCACTAGACACAGACACACACACACACACACACACACACAGAGAGACAAAGACCAGTTAGAGCTAGTCTAGTCCACAAGATGACTGATGAGGATGAAAAGTTAGCTCACCCAACAGGTTCATACATGTTTTCAAGCTTTACCACGAAAAAAAACAACACTCATTGTGTGTGTGTGTGTGTGAGTGAGTGAGAGAGAGAGAGAGAGAGAGGTTCTGTGTGTGTTGGTATTTTCCACACCATCAGGAGAACATATTTCTGAGTGACAGAAGTTTCGTCTCCAGAGGGCATTGCTGATTATTTCCCTTTAGAGGTTTGTGTGCTCTGTGTGTGTGTGTCATTGTGTGTGTCACAGTGTGTCTGTGTGCAGTACATTTACAGGAATGTGTGTGCGTGCGCACGGTTATGGCCTCTGATTATCTCTACACTCCTGTGTTTACTTTAGAGTGAGGTGTTTTTCGGATGTTCTCTCAGAACGACTGGTAGATTAACAGGAACCTTCAGGGCATCTGTCACTAAAACAAACCTGGCCCAGTGTCGTCTCACTGCTGCAGCGGTCACGAGCAAACACACACCCTTTTAAACAAAGAACAAATAAAGTAGTAAAAGGTGATGGGAGCACAGATGAACTGTGGGTAATCTCAGTGGATTTACAAACTTCCAGACAGGGTGTGTCCATTCACAACAGAAGAACGGAGGGATTCTCTCAAATCCTTTTGGCTAATTTCATTTGGCGCCGTGTAGGAGTTCCTTTTTTTTTTTTGAAGTTTGAACATTCAGTGAAGCGAGTGGAAAATCAAGTTGAAGAACAACTGAGATTCAAGTCTGAATCAGAGCCACATTGTGAACCTCACCTGCAACACAAGCCTCTTTACTTTTGTTATTAGCGAGCAAACATTTACAGGTGGCGCCACTGAGTGATTCAGCCTAGTTTGGACCAATGGCTTTTCCTGACTCTGGGTTTGAAGACCTGTTCTTATCCAACATGGTGGCAGAGGGGAGCTCTACCTCTGACCTCATGTGGTGATAGGCAGAAAGTCTGAAGAATATTAGATTTATTTTGGTGTCAGCACCTCGTTAGCGAACAAACTAAACATCCTCTATTAGGAAAAAAAATCTAAATTAAGAGTTTTTTTTTTCTAATTATTTCTATAAAGTCCAAAGTAGCACTTCTTCTACCGTGGTTTTCAGACAGTTAATTCTTCCTTGCAGGTAGAATGAGCTCAGTTTTAATGTAAGATGTTAAACACTAGACCACAGGTTTGGAAAATGTTCATGTTTGAAGTGCCAGAATCACTTTGTCTACAAGTGTGTGTGTTTTCTTAATATATTTGAGGTGTGTCTGTGTCTCAGGTCATTTACATTTGTGAGCTATCCAGTTTTTGGGACTAAATGACAGCCCTTATGAAGCCAAAAGAAGCTACCTTTTTCTCTCTTTTTCTCTTACTCACATTTCCAGTCTCTGGACCTCGCCCCTCACCTGACCACTGATGGCTTTGTCACAGAGCAGTAATATAATTACATGGCATACAATATGGTGACNTACAATATGGTGCCGCAAGTAATTATTGTAATCCTCATTTATCCCCCCTGTCACAATCGCGTCTCACCTTTCCATCTCACTTCCCTTTCTCTCACACTTCTATGTGAATAATCGGACTGAAAATTGGTGCCGGGCGCACAGATCATATCTCCCCCCGAATGGATGTTGAACTCTGTCAGCTCATTGTACAGTGCCGCAGCTCTGATATGCACTCCAAATATTGTTTTTTCTAGAGGTTTTACAGCCCCACGAGCATGGAGTGTACTGATAAAAGACCATAAACACAGGTCCATCCATTATCTGCAGCGCCTATCCTTTGAAATTGACTCTCGGCCAATCCTAGCTGAGGTGAGGTGGAAGGGAGGGTACATCCTGGACAGGTCACCTCCTGACTACAGAGCCACAACACAGAAACAGAAAACAGCAAGTGCTCATATTTGCCCCTATGGGCAATTCAGATTCTCCAGTCACACTTACTAAATGTGTAGGACACAGAAATGACAGTCTTCACAAATCCTGTGGTCTTGATCTGAACTCCATGACCTCTCACCTTGGCCAAAATTCCTTGTCCTGACGTAGACCTCCTCATAGCCTCCTTGCTACTCCTGTGACCTTGGGTCAGAGCTCTATGGTTGACCCGTCCATCTCCGAATGGATGACCCACTGAAGGTAAACCCCAACTAGGCAGAGAAGCTCTTTTAGTCCCCTGGTGGTTTGAACATGCATTAGCAGGGCTTGGTCGTTGTTGAGCCATACTGGACATGCCATCTGGGCCTGAGTTTGAAGGAACAATGAAGTCAGCATGTGATGAAATCAAACAATCAACAAGAAATAATGTAAAAACTTAAGGTCAGCAGCAAACCTGTTGGTCCTGGTCTCTTACACCTGGCCTTCTGATTGGCCTGGGACTTGGAGGACAGTAAAGAATAAGGTCTTGTGGGTATTTCTTTGAAGGGTGAGCTCGTCTTATGTTCTCCGGCTCCATCATCACTGTCGTAACTGCCATCGTCCTCCTCCTCTGTGGAGTCAATGTGTCAGTGTGACCAGTCACAAAGCCTGAGACTCCCTTCACCACATGTATTGACTGAAGGCTTTTAATATTCCTGGAGCACAACGAGTTTAACGTGGCTAAATAGCCTCTGACTATTAAAAAAAAAACAAAAAAAACCACCCCAATATATATATATATACACACACACACACATATAGTTAACATAACAATAGCCACACCAGTAACCACAGTGGGGTAAATAGCAGACTTTGTATCCAGAGTAGCTCAGATGTAGCTTCTCTCCACGCATCTATTAAGTTACATGTCTGTTTTCGCATGATGGCTTAGCGCCATCAGCTGTCACCATCACTTTTGTTTCTGTGTGACGTGTTTGCTCAACTGCGGCGACTAGTGGCAGTCAGGTACTGAATATCGCCCCATGAGTAGCTGCGCAGAATTGCGACGCCTGTTCTTTAAAATGCAGCGATGTGCAACAAATGTTGGTGCATATACACGTATGCACACACACACACATGCACACACACACCGAGGCTGTTATTGGCATCTGAGTGTTGCCAACTGTGGGGGTCGCGTCGGGTGGTGACACATCTCTGACACACTTGTCACTTACATGGCGGTCTCGTCAACACTTTGTCTCAGGCTCTCGCTCTCTTTCTCACAAACACACACACACCAAGTGACTCCCTCTTCAAGCCATAAAGGTCAAAGGCCACTCAATCCCCGTGTTCCCCTGGATTTTCACCTGGTTTCCCCACAATCCTCCTCCATTGTGGCGTTCATTTCCAACTAAAGCCGAGTGTCACTGCCTCTCCTCATCTGACCTCCTCAGAGGAGGCCTTTTCCACAGTTCGGGAGGAACCAGAGGAGGGTGTGACATTCTGACTACGTCTAGAGTGGGCTCACGTTACTGTACAGTGTTGAAGTCCAGGGAGGCTGCGTTGCATGCCTGTGGCAAGTCGGTAACCGCACCCACTCTCAATCTGAGATGCTTCACGTACACGAGCATAAACACACATGCTGTCATTGAGGATTCTCGCGAAGTCTGGTTGAAATTCTTTTCAGTTAAATCAACTCGTCTCATACGTATTTTCCCACAAACACATGATTAAATACATTTCTATTTCTATGCTTTATGGCAGGAGAGCACAGGAAAATGTTTGTGTCTGTAGCTCACCGTGATCTGAACTCTCAGTGTCACTCCTCTCTTCCCGAACTCTACGTTTGTCAGAATTGCGGCCGTCCTTGTGATGAGCTTCAACACCAGCCAGCACTTTGGGTTTCCGACCTCTCTTCTTCTTCTGAGCTGCTGCCCAGTCCGGCTGAGTTTCTACAGGATCGGTAGATTTAGTATTTAGTATACATCATTTCAACATATGTAAAAAGTAGTCTAAAAATGGCCAGAACTTAGGTTAAAGTTAGCCAAGACATTGCTAAATGTTAACTAAAAATTACATATCATATAAAATGCCAAAGGATTAAAAGGAATTTGAAGTGTATGAAAAACTATTTCATTAAAGTCCCTGAATATTATATACTAACTTAGTTAATAATTATTTTAATATGACTTTTGATCAAAACCAATCACATTTATCCTTTGTTAAACGGTGCCATCAAATCCCATGATCTCGTTCTTAGAGATATTAAAAAGATATTACTGGATCTTCCATGTAATTTGGAGTTTTCTGAAATATTCTTTACAAAAAACAAATATTCTCATTTGATAACAGCTGCTTTGTAACAGACAGAGAGGTATTTTTAGGTTATTATGGGATGTCACCTTAAACACTATTAATGCACAGTATTGATATTCTCCCTCTCTTCTAACCTTTCCCTCCAGGTCTGCACTGGCTCTTGGACGTCTCCTCTGCTCCGAGGTCAGCTCTGCGGTGCAGCGACCCAGCAGATGCTGTGCCTTGCTGGGCTGCAGCCTTTTGCTTCAGCTGGGTGACGCGTCTGGCCAGCCTGGAGCTCAGGGTGCTGCTGGGTCGTCCTCTGTGCTTGCAACAAGATTTCATCTGCAGACGAAGGGCAGCATAAAAGAAATAATTATTGACTAATTTCTTTCACATTAGAATAAAATGTTGGTTGTCACTGGACCAACCAGAGGGACCGACCTGTGAGCTGCTGAAACTGTGACTGGACATTTTTTTCCTGGCTTTATGATCCAGCAAGTTCAGCTCGGCCCTGGAAACATCACAGCAGAGCAGCAGGTCAATACATGATAACATTGTGATCTCACTCACTCACAATATTCCTGATGTTTTTATCATGATCACTAATAGACAAAGACTGAATCATTTACATAAAGTGGTCTGTGAAATGTTCTCATTCAGTCTCTTTGGTTCTGCTTCCAAAAATTCACTTTTTTGGTGTTTGAACATGCACCAAGATCCATTTGCGATTGTCAAAAATCCAGAAAGGATTTGGATTCTTTCTGTTTTAGAAAAAGCCTGGAGACAACTCAGACCCAGAAAAACCGATTTGTTCAAAGCACACAAAAATATAGTAGAAAGAAGTATCAGGACCACTCCCTGAAAATCTCTTTGAGGAAAGTTCTTCAAGATTAAGGACTGAAGATTCTTCTTCATTGTCATTGAACAGTCACTCGGTAAGGGAAATTATTAGAACCAACTGTCACCAAATGAACGTTCATTCATCATCAAACTCTCCTCCCACACTCTGTCTGGCTCATAACTATAATGAAGAAGATGATGATGAGGATGATGATGATGAGGAGGTGACAGTAGACGGGGCCATGTCTCCATCCACACAGTTTGACGACAAACGTAAGAATCAGCAGCGGTGTGAATATGAAACTGTGCTGAATCACCATGTGAAGAGATAAAGACTTGTCTGGTGTGAGGAAGGGGATGGGGCTCAAAAGAGGGGGTGAGAAGGAGGGGGAGAATGGCTGAAAGGGGAGGCAGAAGGAAAGAAAGAGAGAGAGAAAGAGAAAGAGAGAGAGAGAGGGAGAGAGGGAGGGAGGAAGATGAAGCAGTCTCGGGGGAGTCTGTCCGTTGACCGGAGCTTCAGGGCTCAATCGATAAACACTAACCTCTATTGAACACTCCTCCCTTCCTCTCTTTCCTTCATCCCAGGCATAGTCTCTCAAACCACAGGCAACACACACACACACTCATGCAAACACACACACACGTTACATTTAATACACACTCTGTTAGCAGCTGTGTCTGAGGCAGGTGAATTCTATATTCCCACAGAGGAAAGATTTAGCTCCCAGCATTTACACTCCCAAGAGAGGAGCGAAGACAAGAGCCGAGAAGAGCGAAGGGGAGGGGAGGGAAAGAAGAGGAGAGAGGATACAAGTTGGAAGTTCTACCTACAGACCACTGTGTGTGTGTGTGTGTGTGTAGTTCTGTATCGCTGTTGATGGAGTTTAAAAGGATTGCAATACTCTCTTTTTCTCCCCCACATGTCTTGGTCTCACCCTCAGAACCTTTCTGTCACTGAGTCCACGGTGTAAACAGACGATGCAGCTCCAGTTAATAACTAAAGAAACGTTGCTAATGCACGTAGCAACCAGCTGCGCTAATTAACCCGGTTTCTGCTGGTGCACGTGTGTGTGTGGGTAACAAAAAAAACCTTATTGTCATTTTCATTAGTGATTTCTAATCACGGAACCCGTGACAAAGATCTCGTTACTTTAATCATTTTATCAAGGCGAGGGGCTCAGGCAGGAGCAGAGGTGGGGCAGCATAAGAAAACACATTCATCATCATGAGCCCCCCCCCCGCAAAACCACTCGACACGTGTGTGTGTGTGTGTGTATGTGTGTGTGTGTTTTCAGCTTGTGCAGGAATGTGCCTGCTGTGCACATTGGAGGTGTTAAATAATGTGTGGTTGTGTGTTGCAAAAGGCAGGCGGGAGGAGGGGGAGTCGTTCATCACTGTAATAACTGTACATCAGGACTTTGTCCACTCGTATGAATGCGTGTTGTAAGTTCAGAGTGAATCAGGACAATAATCAATGCAAGTGATAAATATGATTGGGAGTGATTAATGATAATCAGTGATGATCAGTGATGATTAATGAACGTCTCGTCCTCGTTACCTCCTTCCTTTCTTAGGAGTTTTTGGCCTCTGTCCAAAGACTATATGAGAATGAATGTGTAAGTGAGGGCCTGGAAAAGGGTCATGGTCATGGAAGTCACTCCATGTCAATGTTAGTCTATGGGATGTGGGGCAACTTCAAACTTCATTAATAAATACATTTTACTTTGCTTTATAATGTCAACGATTTTAACTGAAAGGTTTCAGAAACACCTAAAGAATAATGACCTTACTGACCCCAGTGCTGAACAAACGATACACAAACCAACAGCAAACACTGGACACTGAAGCATGGGGCTATAACTGAACTGTTCTGTATCTGAGACCCTTTTTTGAAAGGTTAAAGCAGGTTAAGCATGTTGAGGGTTTAAAAGTCCTCGTTTATGTATTGAAATAGGGCGGAATTATACATTTTTAGTTAATTTTAATGGCTTTATTTAAACAAATGTTTACTTTTCAATTCCAATTTTAATACCAACCATAATTGACAAACAGACAGCTCTGTGCTTCACTGTGCATCTGTATGTGCATGAGCACATGCGCCAAATCAGGAAAAATCATCAGCATTTGAATCAATTCAGGCTGAATAAGAAGTAAAGAAGACGAGGAGGAGGAGGAGGAGGTGAAAGGGGAGGAGGAAGTTCTTAAGAATCAAGCGTGCCTTTCACTAGGAACACAAACAGAAATCAGGATGAATGAGCAGGGCTTGCCAATCACCCTGATTATAGACTGAGGCGGGCATCGCCGCAGGACTGACCTGAGTCTCTTGGAGCCCTCTGCTGCTGCTGCAGCGGCAGCTGGGCCGGGGGTGGACTTGCGCTTGCGGGGGCGACCAGGCCCCCGGCGAGCGGGGCTTCGAGACGTCTCCTCTTTCCTGCAGAGGAGGAGAAAGACGGAGGAGGAGGAAGAAGAAGAGGGAGATCAAAGATGCAGTGAGGAAACTGGTGTCGGCTGCAGGTCCAACTGCATTAAGTATGAACAGAGAGAGAGTCCAGCAGAATCGGAACCATGCAGTCTAACTGAGGGATGTTGGCTGTAGTAGAGGGGTGTCCAAAGTCTGGCCCGCAGGCCAAGTTGGCACTTGATGGAACCAAATAATCATATTTGTGCCAACGGGAGAAAAAACTTACTTTAACTGGCTATTTTATGAACCCCATGTTGTTATTAACTCTTAGCTGTATGCTGATATATTTTAACCTTTACAGTAGCTAAACTTTAGCTGTATAAGATTTTAACTTTCTTTCTGGTCTAACATCCAAGCATTTTCTTTGTTGATATTCAGCCCTGTAGTTTGTGATATAATTTCCACCATATGTACCACAAGTGACAGCTGCGGCTCAGGTTTATACACATATAATAAATATGTTATGAACACAAAACAACATAATAAATGTAGCACACTGTTAGCATCTGTCACAGCCAAACAACATTCCATCACTGTCTTCTTCTCTTGTGGGAAAGGCAGTAAATCAAAAATGTAAACGTACCATTGATTTAGCGTGAGTGTGAGTGTGTGTGAGTGTGTGTGTGTGTGCGCTCACTGGTGGTCGGGCTTCCTCTGTAACTTGGCCAGTTCTCTCTGTTTCTCTTTGTATCGTCGCTGTAGCTCAGCCAGCTGGACACGCATGGACAACTCCTCCCCTCCCATCGTCTCCATGGAGCCCTTCACTGGGCACACCTGACACACACACACACACAGACCAGAACAGAGAAAATTTAAAAGGCTGGAGATCAAAAGTTCGACTGTTGGGATTTTTTTTTATTCCACTTATTTTTTAATTTTTCTGTTTATTCTGACAAAAGGCAGTAACATCCATAAAGCTGCTTATTTCCATTAAAAATAGCAATGACTTGTAAAGGCACTGTTGCTGGGTGATAAAAACATTGGCAGCACGACATACAACGATTTTTCTGACACTCATAAAAAGCTAAAAAGTCACATTTACATTTGATAAACAAAATCTTTGAAGCTCTTTAATCAGGAAAAAAAATGGGTTTTATTTCTCTCTCGAGTTCTTTTCTACTTTCCTTTTTTCTCCCTCTCTCCCTTAATCGTCACCTCTTCCTTTCTCTTCTCCTAAATCTCCAACTTCTTCTCCTTTTCTATCCTTTACCCTTTTCCCCCAACCTCCTTCTCCTCTTCTTTGCTCCTCTCCCTACTCCTACCACTTCTCCTCTGTCTCCCCCTCCTCAGTTATCTTCATTTAATGGAAGACAATCTTCTGTCTACTGACTGATCTCCCCCTTCTCTCCATGATTCTACTTCTAGATGTTTCTCCTGTCACGCTATATTTCTCCTCCCTTTCCTTCTTTTTCTTCCCCCTTTTTTTTCTTCCTTTCCCTTGTTGTTTTCTTCATCTCCTCATTCCTCTGCTCCTACACCTTCCTCACCTTCTTCTTACTTTTTAAATGTTTGTGTTTTAAGTGACAAATCTCAGTTAATTATTTGGAACTGAGGGTAAAACCAAAACCCCTCACCGGCTCATGGCGAGGCGTCCAGCTGCATTTCCTGCGTAGGTTGAGCCTCTTTCTGATTGGACACTGCTGCTCCGTGCCCACATCCACGACATCTCTGCCCATTTCCAGGGCACGGGCTGCAGCAAGCGTGGCCAAACTGTGGAGGTCAAGGGTGAGTGCGTCCTCACCTGCAGACACACACACACACACACACACACACAGAGAGGAACGGTGGTGTCATTACACACATGTTGCTGCTGCTGCGCAGTGTGTGAGGCCACGTTATAAAACACACAACGACTGGATTTATTTACAGGGCGATGAAACAGCGCCTTGAAAAGTGGTGATATTTATGATATTAGCACGGTAGTTTGTGTGATGTATACTGTGCTCAGGCCTTAATGGTACAAACACACACACATACACACACGAGAGGGGAGGGATGGGTTGTGAAGAAAGATCTCTCTACATCTGTCACTGTCATTAACTCTGTCATTGTCACAGCAACAGCAGATGAAACAGAATATTCATGAGACACACACACACACACACCCCTACACAAACACACGTCCCACAGTCACCTACAGCTTTCGCTGAGCTGCGCAGACACAGGGAAATTTGCAGGAAAAGAGAATAACAGGAGAGCAGGAGGTGGAGGAGGTACAGGGAGTAAAGGAGAGGAGAAGCAGTAGGTAGCTTCTGTTAGCCAGGTTAAAGAAGCGGACTTGGGTCTGGAAGGCTTCAGGTTCAAGTCCACCATCTGCCAAGTTACCACTGAGGTGTTTTAGCTGTTTTGACTTATTTAGCTAGATTTCTTGTTTGTTATCTAATAGAATATATATGTATTCTGTCTTATGAACTATTTCTGGCCTGTGGATTATTATTTATTTATTTTTAAAAAATAAGTTACTTTTTAGAATTTTTGCCATTTTTCAGCAACTCAATTACATGAAAGAACTTTTAACACTCTGGTAAAGGAAAATGTAAAACTGGTAAAACATTTGGCTTTGATTGCAAATACTGGGTTCTTCAAGTTGAGCTTTATCACTAAAGGAGAGAAGAAGAGAAGGAAGGAGAGGAGAGAAGGACAGGAGGAAAGTGGAGAGGCTTTATTGTATCGCTCTCCCTCTGTGCAGTGGAGCTGCACGGCCTATTCACTGACATCTGACATTATTAAAACCTGTGTGTTGGAGCTGCAGACAGACCGAGACAGAACTGCTGCAGACAGAGAGGAGAAAGAATGAGCAGGAAGGATGGAGCCTTCAGCCGTGAAGGCGGATTTGAACAAAAAAAGTGAGGAACTGAATAGAGGACGACGTCGGAGGAACTCCACAGAGAGCGGGAAGCATCTGAGAGACAGGGATTTGTCCCGCTCCTGGCTCCCAGAGGTCAGTGAGCTGTCTCATCTGTTAGACCAATGGCACGCTCCGATTACCCTGACAGGATGACATCAGCGCTGACATCACCGCCCACAATAATCAATAGACACCCAATGCCAATTGGGAGAACCATACTTACACAGCAGACTGTAATAACACCACACTGAGCCCCTGTAGTGGGAGGAGGCTGTAATCAGAGGCTGCACCCGGGGATTTTAGGGAGGAAACGAGAAGAGTGTGGAGGAAGATGAAAGACATTTGCAGCTGATGTGGGTCCAGTCATCATTACAGTCCATTAAGGTGCTTTATTGAGCAGAAGTTTTAAAAAGGGAGCAAATGTGGAGACGGATGGAGACATAAAGAGTCCTCGTATAAATGCATATGTAAAACACAGGCTGTAGATCCAGAACTGAATCTGCTATTAATTCTTCCCACGGAAGAGGCTGTTCTGAGTGTAGTACCATGACTGGACAGTAGGGGTGGTTCGCCTTTGTCCAAATTTACTTGCTTTTAGACTTTGATGGTCCCTTAGAGCAGTGTTTCCCAACCTTTTTTGAGCCATGGCACATACTGTATATCAGGAAAAACCATCAACCATCAAACCATCAAAAATCTCACAAAAGGTATATATAATGAAATCATAATCTTTTAGTTTAAATTTAACTCATGATGGACTAAAATCGTGGCCCGTTTAGTTGAAGACAACGCTGATATACTGGCAGGAATTGAAGAAAGACACTTGAAAGATCTTCTTCAACAGCTCTAATTCTATTTTCTATCTTAGTTTTCAGCCTTATTACGTGAAATTGGACAATTTCCCACTACACACCAGTGTGCCACGGCACAGTGGTTGGGAATCACTGCCTTAGAGGTCTGCTGGAAGCAATGAATGTGCTTAAACGCCTCCATGTGCCAGCTTCCATGACTCAGGTTTTCCATGAATCCATGTACAGTTCTAAACATGTACTGACCTGAGACGTGTCGTATAGAGAAAAACCTGTGTTCTGCAGCGGAATATTTTAAAGGTTAAGTATTTAGTTTAAGTTTTTACATATATCTTCTATAAACTTGTAAAATACATGTACTTCTGTTCATGTACTTTTAAAATAAAATGTAGACGTATGCTGATGATACCGGAGGTTCACAAGTTTCTGTATATTATTAGGATGATAATTAAGCCAATTCTAGTTTTCAGAAAAGTTAACTGACTTCCAACATTTTCTAGAACCGATCTATTCCACAGACCTGGATGACGTCTTTTCAGCCATACATCAGTTTCATTCTCGTCCATTTTTGCTCAGACTCTCACAAAGGCGCAAACAAGACTGAGGCAGAAACAGCTCTTCTGTTTACGCTCATGTAAAACGTACTGGTGTTAATTCATGCAGTCAGTCAGCGGTGGAATACGTCGCCTGCTTCCTGTAATCTGTAATTGCGATCTCCAGTGAACAGCTGAGATAACTTTCCATGTCAAACAGAAGCATAAATGCATCTGTCCAGGATCGGTTTCATCTCCACGATGACAAGAAATGCCATCAGTGACATTAATAACGTTTCACTGAGGCCAGAGCTGCTGGGATTTTTTTTAAATAAATGCTTTGCAATTTGGTGGCGGCAGCGGTGATTTTCACGCCACAACAAGACTTATTGATTTCTTACCTATTGCACATGCTAAGCACGTGCACACACACGTAAACGTGCACGCTCAGTGTGACATGCACATGCACGGACAGCAACACAGCTGCTCTTATGATTTTTGCACCTTTTAATTCCATCAACGGGACTTGCACAGGCAGGATTTACACAGAAGATTACATTGGTTTTAATGGGAAAAGGAGAAGGGAGTGAGGGCAGAAAGGAAGAGGAAAAAAGGAAAAAATGGAGGAGGAGGAGGAGGAGGTGCAGGCAGCCTGGTGGAGAGAGTGTGATGGAGCAGAGCAGGGGGCGATTCAGCTGGGATTACTTAACAGCTTCTGCACGCACACACACACACACACACACACACTGACGCTGGCATAAATAAAAACACTTTCTCTCCCAGGGACGAGAGGGAAATAGGAGCGCTTACAGCACAAGTGTTTTAAAAGAAAGGCTCTAATTAGCAGAGCAAGACGTCGGAGCCTGGGGGACACACTGGGCACACAGTGTGTGTCTGCATGTGTGTGTGTGTGTGAGAGAGAGAAAGAGAGAGAGAATGTGTGTGTCCTGGCTTGTGTCTGAAGCTCTGCTTGTTTGTCCATCTCCGTTCAGCCCCAAACAAACACACACACGTAGACACTCACACATGTACACACACTTTCTAAGGGAAACCCCATGGGGTACAATAGAGAGTCAGTGTGTGTGTGTGTTTGCATGTGTGTCTACATACACATGGTTACTGCTTCTTATTTGGGGTTTACCACCAGTCTGGGTTTTGTAAGAGTCAAAAAGTGTTTTGATTTATTTTTGTATTGTTTTTTTTTTATCACTGACAGTTTATTCCTGTAGCTCATAAACGACGGTCGACGATGAGCTCAGGATTATCAAAAGCATGCATGATAAGTAGACATGTCTAAAGTTCACGGCCCTAAGAATGGATTTATGTCTGTCCCATGAACACATACTGTTTCAAAATATATTTTACTGAGTGTTATTTTATATCAAAGGTGTTACTGTAGCCTGTAATCTTTTTTTTTCACCAGCTACAGTTAGCTTACGTCTAACTGATCGTTCTCATTAGCTATGTCACCTTAGTTCCTAATCCATGTGGTTATTTTTTGTAATCATTGGCCACTTGTTCAAGAACAGAATCAACTATCTTTACTCTGTACACAATCCACCCACTGCCCAAGGAGTCACGCAGTTGGTTCTTGGTCAACACTCCACAGCCATCAAGAGTGGGATTAGAACCTGCAACCCTCTTACTACTAGGCCAAATGCTGCCCTCTTTGTGTTCTTTAAAACAGACTAGACTTTTGTCATATAAAAAATAAGTATAATTAAAATGTCTCCGTACCTTCAGCAGCGTTCCCCTCGCTCCCTCTGCTCCTCTGCTGAATCTCCAGCTCGGCCAACTCTCCCAGTATCTCCATGCCGTGGTTGGGTGGTGGGCTCGGGGCCTGGACCACAGGTACTGGTGGGTACAAGGCATCTCTGGTTGCGCACAGGGTGGCAGCAATCAGAAGTTCCAGACTCCACATGTAGGCTCCTTGGAACTGAGCTGCTGTGCTGGCTGAAGACTGGAGGACGGAGTCACGAGCTGCAGGAGGCGCAGGTGGAGCAGGTGGACTCACCTCCACCAAGTCCTCATCTGAACCCACTCCCACCTCCTCTACTTCTACAATCTCTCTATCTTTGTTCCCACCCTCCTCCTCCTCATCATCATTTTGCCGGTGGGGGTCTCCAGGCGCAGGAACAGTACATTCAGTTGGGTCAGACTCCTTCCTCTCCTCGTCATCCTCCCCTTTGTCCTCTTTTACAATTTCCAATTCCTGCTCCTCCTCTTCTTCTTCCTCCTTCTGCTGCTCCTTGGGTGGATCTTTGGGTGTCTGGGGCTCCTCCAGGCTGCCCTCTTGGCCCTGACACCCCAGAGAGAACTCCACTTTGTGGGTGCTGCCTGTGGCTGGGGCTGGGCAGCCTGGATCTAGGGCTGGAGTTGGGGAAGGACATGGCAGAGATCCAGAAATCTTGCTTTCTGGCTCAGAGAGAGAGCGTCCTCCTCTATCTGCCCTGCTTTCCCAGCTCTCTTGGTCAATGACTCCACTCTGACATTCCACCACCTGACAGTCTCTCCCATCATTCTCCTGTGCCTTCTTACTGCTTTCCTCCTCCTCCTCCTCCTCCTCCTCATCTTCTTCTTCTTCTTCTTCCTCCTAAAATACCGTTAAAGACTGGATGATGTGTGTATGTGGGAGGGACTTGGAGTCTGTCTCTGCTGGCTCCGCCTCCACCGTGGCTTGCTCAGCTAATCTGGCCTCAGCAGGTGAAGGTCCAGCCTCGTAACTCATGGTGATGGGAGGAAAGGAGTAAACCGGTGGCAGGTCTGGTGGAGAGAGGACAGAGCAAGAGTTTAAAATTGCACAGCTCCTGAGTACTGTAGCAGGCACACATTTACGGTCATACATTACCCCAAGTACACAATACTATAATACCAGACCCAGGTACAGAGCTAAACATTCACTGTGATGTAAACTGCCATGTAACGTCCTCTTAACATTTACAATCTCTTTCAAATGGGTCGTCAGATTGGCTGGATTCATAGATGTGATGTCCTTTTCTTATACACAGTCCATTAGACCATCCAATAGGAGCATGACTAAAGTCATTTTAAGGCTCACAATCAGGAATGTCTTTTATTTTGATTTTTGATTTCTTATTGCTAATGTTCACCATTGTCATGCAAACATTTCTGCTACATACTACAAATGTGGTTGCAGCTATTCCATTAGCATTGGACACCTTGCAGACAGTGGACCCTGCAACACATAGTACTGGGGTCTGACTAAAACGATGTGATTTCCCTTCTGTCTGAACAAAGTCATTTATACTGTGTGTGTTATCATGCGTCTGCATGAGTGTGCAAGTGTATGGATTTATGGAGGATATTGATGACGCCCTGCTGTTTGCCTGTGATTGCAGCACCGGCCCTGTCACCCCTGCATTCCCTATTATTGATGGTATCACTCCGCCCCCTATGACAGCCGGTGCAGATGAATGCGTATCCTTCCGCCTGTACTTCTCAAGGACCTCTGAAGGATAAGGAGGGTTCAGCTAAAGATTTGGTTGACCTTCTTTGTATGACACACACCTGAGGACAGGCACAAACACACATGATGTACATGCTGACAGGTCACATGGGGGCCCTTATGCTTTCTCCAACCTCTGTGACTGACCTGAACACTTTGCATTTTCAGCTTGAATGCAGACAAAACTGCACACACACAACACATGCTCAAGGACACAGAGGTGGAGAGATAAGCTCAGTTTTGAGCAGATGCTGCAAAAATCTGAAGAGCACCACGTGTTGAGAGAAAGAACACATTCCCTCCGTATGACTCAGTCGGCCATTAACAGACATGAAGTCGAATTGAAGTCCAGATATTTCAGCCTGATGTCTGATGTTTACACAAAACAAAAGCAGCAGGACACTGTCTGGATGAGAGATGATCACAACAGCAAGAGAATGTCCTCAGGAACCAAACACTACGGGAGACTTCTGCCTTTGTCTCTTTCTCTAACTGTCTAAACTTCTTCAAACTCGCTTTGGAAATTCAGCTGGTTCTCACCTGGCTCTAGAGATTGTGGGTAATCCTGAGGCGGCTGCCCCTCCACCCTGTCACTTCCCCTGTCCAGACCTTTGGACAGGTGTGACGGAGCTGGACTAAGTGCCGGAGATCGGGGTGCTGCAGCTGCGGGGCTCGGTGCGGGAGTCAGAGGATTCTGTGGGTGTGGCCGCCTGGATGGAGAGTGGTAGCAGGGTGACTGTCGGCTGGTGGGACACATTCCTGGAGACGGTGTGGGGGTCTTTGTTGGGGGTGGAGTGTGAGAGAAGGGTTTGGCTGCATGTGAAGAGTTGGTGGATGAAAACGAGGAGGACGTAGGAGGCGTTCTGGATGCAGAAGTCTCAGGGGAGTCTTCGATTGTGATGGGATGTTCATCGTGTTTTTTCTGTTGAAGAAAAGATCGTAACGATGGTGAACTTTATCCATTAATTTCCAGAATCCCAAATAATAGTGGCAAAATACTACTGAAAATATCTAGAAGAAAATCACTGTATTATAGCACTTCTATTTAAACTGACTAGGACTTTAGCAGAAGTTCCAAGGACTAATTCCAGACTCAAGGTATAGTACCAGGAACAATGTTTGGTAAATGCAATTACCAGGAGCTTATAAAAGGAGCTGGAACTGTTTCCAACCAATATAAAGTCTCTGCTTAATAGTTGGGAACTAATGTATTTTGCAACTAAATGTAAAAGTCATTCTCAGGGGTCACTGTCGGTCCAACCTGTCCAACAGAGTGATGCTGCATGTGCTCCAGGGCCCGCTGCTGCTGCTGGTGCTGCAGGGCGTAGAGCTCCTGTTGACGGAGGAATGAGGAGCGGGAGTAGACAGGATGATGCTGCAGGTGGGGAGGGTGGGCCCGGGCTCCATACACAGGAGGCCATAGACCAGATTGCTCCAGAACATCTGGAGAGAGCAACAAAAGAAAAAGGCAAACAGTTAGTGTAAATACAGTAAGTCCAACCATAGACTGTTTATAGGACATGGATGTAAGCGTCCACTATATGGTTTATAGGAGCTGAGATCAGCCATTAAAAGCTGAGCTGCAACTCAATATAACCAAACACAGAGTCAGATAAGTTGCTAACGGTTAGCCTTCTGGACACTTCACCTTGTTTACATTTTTATATTTGTCTATGGATGAAACCAGGAAAGAATGACATTCCTTTTTAGTGAGAGTTCAGCCAAGACAACTAAAGACATAACAACTCCAAGCTGCACCACTGTTGTTTTCTCTGTATGTAGTATTTTGGTTGCAAACAAACTAAGTGAATCCAGGATACTTCACATCCTCTCTTCACCTTATTTAACTTTTTTCCATTTCCAACAACACTGGTCTAATCCCTCTTCCAAGCCACTCCCCATGTAGGCACATGTGAGGATACACACAACACACACATACATACACACTTTCCTTCTTGGCTGCCTTGTCGCTGGGAACCTTTGTTCTGTGAGATTAGCCTGAGTGGGCTAATGTTTCCCAGGGGAAGGGTTCAGTGGATGCACTTCCCCTCTCTGCAGGAACTCCCACGAAGCGAGGCAAGGGAGGCGGGAGATAATTAAATTTCACAGCCTGTTTGCAAAGCAGTGTTGACACGCACACACTCACTCACTCACACACTCACACACACACACACAAGCATACACACACACATGTCCTCCTCCTTCCTTTTTTTATAGTGATGGCTGAGATGTACAACACAACCCTTAACACTGAGCAATGTTTCGTGGTGTTCCAGACATGAGCACAACTAACTTTTATACATCTGCACACACGCACACACACACACACCCTCACACTACACACACACACTTGTATAAAGTCCAGTCCAAACACACCAGCGGTCCAACACGAGAGAGATGAATGTCAGTTAAAATGGTCTGCATAAGGCCGGGTGCATGCAGAGGGGGCCATGGAATAGCTGCTCCCATTAACGAAGCTATAAAACAAGGCCCCACTGACAGAGGGACTTAGTTGAGCATTATATTATGATTAGCCAATGATACTAAAACTCTGGGAGAGAAATGGCAGCAGCTCTAGTGGTACAAATGGAGAGTAGGAGAGGCGGGGGGGCTACTTAAGAAGGGCTAGAGCAATGAATACAGGCCCTGCTGGTTGCCTGTGTGTGTGTGTGTGTGTGTGTGTGTGTGTGTGTGTGTTCTCTCAGTGTTCTTGTGAAAAGGTGCCTGGCATACCGAGATGATGATGAGGCCCAGGCTCTGTAGGAAGAACCACCAGCGGGGAGTTGGGGTCTTGGGTGAGTGAACCCAGGACAGGCTGCAGTGGGCTGGGCAACCCGGTCGGGAAACCTGGACCCATTCCCACATGGCCTAGACCTGGAACCAAGACATGGATGACACAGTCAATATTTTATTTTAACTAAAGGATGGTTTGACTTCCAGGTCAATGATGTAGAGGCCAAAAACCAGGTCCATTTACGGTCTCTGAACCAGCACACACCTGATCTGGAGTCAGTGACAGCAGGTTACACCCACAACAGGACAAGATAAGAGAAGACCAACGCACACATGTGTGACTCAATACGGAAACCCGATATAAAACCAGCAACCTGGTGTGTTCTACTTGACAGAATATGATGGAATAAAATAGAGAACACTTGTGTATGTGTGGACAGATTGTATGGACACGAGACACCTGTCCTACACGTTAAAGGCCACTCTCTGAAGTTCTGGGTTAAAAAGCTAACAGCCGCAGGTCAAACTGCAAATCCCGGGGTTTCAAATTGCAACCATTGACCAAACGTCAGTTTCACTTTCCTGTACTGAGTCTTGGGCTGCAGAAAAATTGCTATTCACGACACAGTCCCACGTATTCTTACTGTCATAAACATTAAACACATGAAATTAAAGTAATTACGGGTTCAGTCGGGCATTCACTTGCCAAACAAGTCAGAAACACACACTTCCACGCTGACTGCACTTACCGTAAGAATGCCCCATCCAGAGGGAGGGGCTGCCAGTTCTCTGCATCCAGTGGTGATGAGCCGGATGAGCGTGTGCAGCTGGGTCCGCCCCTAATTGGCTGGCCCCGCCCGTAACCAAGAGGTGGGAGGTCAGGTCCCCGTGGCAGCTGCTGGAAGGATGGATTCTGGCGAACTCCACTCGATCCTTGTTTTCCCTGCGGTGGCGTGCAGGCAGATGTGAACTTTGTCATTATCTTGATTATCCCTCTCATTGTCATCGCCACCACCATCATCATCGTCATCACCGCCACCGTCATTATCTTCATTATCTTCATCATTGTCATCTTCATTACCAAGACTACCATTATACTCATCAAGAAAATGAAACGTGACAGCAACAGCAGAAGCCATCATCTCGCGCCCTGGTCCATGAGTTCTCATTATATGTTTTCTTCCCTTAATATGACTACATAACAAGAAGCTGATACTTCAGACACATTCATATTAGTCTCCATAACATTAATGCACCGCATCTCATCTCAGAGGGAGAGAGGGAGGGAGAGAGAGAGAGAGAGAAGAAGAGAAAGAGAGAGTAAGAGGGCAGAGACACACCACATCAAAGAGTGGGAAGAGTAAATGGAGTGAGAGCAAAGAAGGGGGGGAGGGAGGGAGGGAGAGAGAGAAAGCGATAAGGGGAGCGAGAGAGAGAGTGATAAGGGGGAGAGAGAGAAAGAGTGAGACGGAGAGAATAAAGGGACCTCAGTTTGTCAGATAAGAGCAGAAATGGAACAGCGAGCGTCTCATGTACATGCATGCTCTCAGGGACCTGTGAATTTACCTGATGATTATTTCTCTCTCCCTGTCCAGATGATGAAGGCCTATGTGCTCCTCCGTCATCCTCTTCCTCTCTTCTGCCTCCCGTCCGAGAGGATAAACTGGACGTGATACCCCTGAACAAAAAGGGACAGTAGAGATTAAATTAAGAACTCTTGCTGCTCTAACATTTTTCATTTGGAGTCTGAATATCACCCCCCCCCCCTCCCCCCACCCCCCACACCGGACCAGCTGTGTCGACCATGGTACAAATGAGGGCTGCAGTCTTTAAATATGATATGAAATAAAAAATATTGCAAAAAAAGACCTTTTATAAAATCTACTAACACCTTCATTTCCATGAGAGTATTTACTCAAATTAGTAATATATCTTGATATTTTTTTCACCCACAGCGCACCCTGTAGCACAGGAGAGGCATTGATTGACTTTGAGGCATAAATGGTGTCTGACCTTTCATGCTGGGCAGCACTCTGCCTTGTCTGCTGAGTCCAGGGGTGGTGTCTGGGGAGCGATGAGGAGGTCGGGCTACTGCAACAGCAATACCAACCGGAGGCTGCCGCACCTCCCCTTCCCCAATGTCTCCCGAGTCTTTGGCGCTTCTCTCACCCCGATCTCCATCATTAGAAGATCTTCGGCGAGGAGGAAGCGGCTGTTTAGGGTGGTCTTGCGAGGGGATGTGGCTTTTAGCTACACCTTTGTCATCTTTATCTGATCTGTCTCCGCCCTGCTTAAGGCAGCCCAAACCTCCAAAGGGGCTACGCTGTGGCAGCAGCAGAGGCTGCTGGGAACTGTAGTTCATCAGGTTCTTCATGGCACTGCTCTCATCCTCAGGCGTGTGTGGAGATGAGTGGGAGAGAGGGGGAGGTGGTTGGGAATTCACATGGTTGTGGTCATTATTTTGGGTTTTCCTGAGACCACGTACTTCACTACTACTGACAGAGGGATGATGGGAACCTTTTCTTTGGTCCTCCTGGTGGCCCTCTCGAGAACCCCAGGAAGGGGCTGTCTGACCACCTTCTCTTGCTCTATCTTCTGTACTTGCCCCATGGCTGCTGTGCTGCTGGTGTCTTATCCTTGCAACTTTTTGGCCTTCCCGGTGAGACCCTGATCCCACTTTTACATCAGGTTGGGAACCTGAGTAAGAACAGTCCCTGAAAGGAGGAGTGGTGCTGTCAGAACCACTCCTAGAACCCTGTCCAGCTCCAGGGTGTGTTCCCTGGACATCTAGTGAAAGTGAGGATCGGTAATTATCTACAATGTCCACATCTCTAGACCACGCTCTCTCCAGGCTGCAGGACCGCAGCTCTGACTGAGAGCTGATGTTAGAGTTGGGTTTGTGGAAGTTCTGTGACTGGTGAGTCCAGTCAGGTGGTCTGTCAGCCTTGCCGTATCCCAGCTGCTGCTGGTGTGTCTGCGATTTGTCCTTCTTCTGGCAGCTGCTAAGTCGACTGAGGTGATGGGATGGACTTTCAAAGTTTCCTTCCCCACATTTGTCATCTCCCTTCCTGCTTGCTCCTGGTCCACGGCAGTCAGGGGCTGCCAGCTCTCCTAAAGGTCCAACAGAAGGAACATAAGTTGGCCCGATGGCTTTCGCTTCCCGGGCAGAGCCTACAGGAATAGATGTGGTGTCTTTGGAGGGAGTAAGTGTAAGAGGGGGGCAGAAAAATTCAGGGTGAGGATGGTGATGTGCGTGGTGTATCCATCCTCCAGTAACTGTGGAGCCCATGTGCAGGGCGTGAGGAGGGGGTGGTGGTGGAGGAGGCGGGGGCATTGAGTAAGAGGCCACCGTGTGTGGAGTGGGTGGTGCCAAAATGGCTGTGGGTGCAACAGTTCCCCGTCTCATACATTCAGAGGAGGAGGCTGTGGATTCACTGATCCGCATCTCCCCATTTATGGGTCCATCTTTGGAGCAGCGTCTGCTACCACCAGACACAGGTCTACCTATAGCACCACCACCACTACAGCTGCTCATGACTCCCCCTTTGCCTCCAGAACCACTTTCGGACACTGACCCACCTGATAGTTTACATGTAGACACATTTTTTGTCCCGTGACTCCCTAAATCACTGTCTCTAAAATCTTTGTGTCTCTCCAGAGAATGTCTGTGCTCCTCCTCCCTGCTCTGCGATGTTAAATGAGGGAGGAGGGCATGGAGGGGGCGGGAGTACGCCTGGTGATGGTAGCCAGATGGAGTGGTGGCAGGGTTTGTCTGATGAGAGTGTTGATGGTGCAGCTGCTGGTGCTGTTTGTCTTTACTCTCCTGGTGCCGCTCCTTGCTGCTCGACCGCTCCTTGTCTTTGGAGGCAGATGAAACTCCTTTCTCGCCCACATCTTTGGTGCCCTTCCCACTGCCTCCTCCACCCCCATTGTCTGTCTCACGGCTGCAGGAGCCCAGAGGGTGGCCCGGTGCAGTCCTGGACAAAGGGGGAAGGCTGTGATTGGCTGAGAGCAATGGTGGCTGAGGAGGAAGGCCTCGAAGGTAAAAGTGATCTGGCAGAAGAAGAAGATGGGTTAGTATTACAACGGATTTCAGGCTAAAAAGAAAAAAAGAAAAAATCACACTAAACTCACAAATGAACACTTACGCTTCCTCTGGAATATTTCTACATAAAATATTGGATACATTATATATATATATATCTCAGCTAAATTAGTTTTTTTACACCTGGAGTAATTATTACGGGAAAAAGTTGACTTTAAAGAACAGATTCCGTTTCTCAGAGAAGTATGTTGACCCAAGTTTCCTCTGATTTCTGTCCCAGCTGAAACAGTTCAAATTTAGCTGCTACTTATGACACATGAACTGCAAAAGTATGTTGCTGCAGCAATATCTTGAGAAAGTGAGAAAACACCAGCTGGGGAAGTTACCACTTCTGATTCCTGTGGTGAGTGCTGATTAAGCATTTTAAGGGAGTATAGAGCCTATGAAGCATTTTTATTCTGCTCTGTTACACACACACACACGCACGCACGCACTATTCTGCTCTGTTACATCCACATACACACACACACACACACACACCCTGATACCTACCTTTCTGAGTTTCGTAGAAGCGGTGCTGTCCATAGAGATTGTTGCTATGGTGATCCAGGGGACTCATGGGGAGAAAAGGAGAAGCAAGACTTCCTGAATAGCCGGGGTACCCTGTCAGAAGGAGGGAGAGCAAAAAAATTGATGTTTCTCCACAGCACTGACATTCAGCAGCCCTCTAAATAAACAGTTTATCTCTACAATCTATCATGGAATGGAACCATTTTGGAAAAAATAGACCAAAAAATGCAAGAGCGAGAGAAAGAAAAAAGACAGTTACTGCTACTTTCCCCATAAATGCACTTTTGCACAAACACGCCACACGAGTTGACATTATTTACAGTGGACAAAGTGGTGACAAAAACCACAGCCGGCAGCTACTGCCAAGTGTTTGCAGCATTTAACTGGATGGAATTTGTTCTTTCTACCAAACACATTTTTCCCAAACTCAAGACAAATATTAGGGAGAATCCAACCCCCCCACCCCACCTGGTACCTACTAGCGCCCCCCGACTTAAAACACACAGTTCTCTCAGGAGGTCATTGGGAGGTAAACAGTGGTTCCACTCTGTTCCGCGTCTTCAAGGACGTCGTACTGCATCGTGGGATAGAAGAGGTCTCTGTGGTTGTGTTGATAGGGGCCAGCAGGTTGAGGGTCAGTATGCGTGTGTTTGGAGTGGGTGGTACAGAGGGTGAGGAGGTGTGTGTGTGTGTGGGGGGGGATTTACTGTGATTCAACAAAGCAATAGTTACAAGAAAGATTAGTGCTTTGAACCAAACTGACTGAGAGTTGTCTGTGGCATTAAATTCAAACCTATTTAGCAGTACAGCTCCGAGTGGGACGCCATTATTCAGGGACTCTCCCACTCCAGTCAGCTCTATTCTCTCTCTCTCTCTCTCTCTATATATATATATATATATATCTCAGTGTGGCCCAAACACCAACTGTTATCCTGACTTTGTTGTCCTTGTGGTGAAAACACAGGGTTCCAGGTACTTTTCTGGGTTCCTGGGACCAGTTCCTGCTTTTGAAAAACACCTTTCCACACGGTGGTTCCAACATAGGGATTTTAAAAAACGCTGCCGGCCCACACACATCCACATCGGTCTGGTACACAAACAGAATCTGGGGGCCAAAAGGCAGTGATTGTACGTGTGTGTGTGTGTGTGTGTTCTTCCCCAGGTGCTGGTTTCATGCCCCACAGAGTGTCCTTGCCGGCCTGTTAATTGGCAGCCGTTAAAAGTTTAACGGTGGTGGCCAAAGTAAACAGCACTCCATAAAAACTCATCCTACGCATTCCACAGTCACACTGCAAAAACCACCGACACACCCCCTACTGCTCCCAGCATGTGTGTGTCTGTGACTGTGTGTGTGAGTCTATGGAGTTGCGGGGCGGGACTGTGTCTGTGCATTTTAATACTTTAATGTGTGTGTGTGTGTGTGTCTGTGGGGGTGTGTGTGCACGTGCGTGTGTGATTACTCCAACTGGTTAACAACCAGTGAATCTAAATGGAGACAATTAGCCAAAAGGCTCTATCAGCCATCTACAGCCAATAATGATGAGTGATAAAATGGGAGAGGGAGGGGAGGTGAGGGGAGGTGAAGGGAGGGGGGTAACACAAAGCAAGTTTCTGCAGCAAAGACTAGTACCTGGAACATGGGGCAGTACCAAGTACCATGCATCAAAGTCTGGAGTGACCCAGTTTGGATCAGAATAGTACCATGTGTTTTTCTGGGTTCACTCTGGAGGCCTGTTTCCATTAAAATAAATAGTGCAAGAAAGATGGGACAGAACCAGGTATTAGATTATTTCCACCGTGTAGAGTGAAAAAAATGGAGATGCTAGTAGTAACCCTACCCTTCTAACAGTAGGATTTAGGGGGATCCTAGGTCGGTTTAGGGCAACCACACTGTTGGTGGGAAAATAATATTCACTGGTACTATTCCTTAGTGCCTGAACGGTGCCAAGGACAACGGGGACATTTACGGGGACAGTAGTTGTGTTAAGAGTGAAAGTAGAAGAAGAAGAAGAGAAAAGAGTTTAGTGTTTGAATATAAAGAGTAAAGAGGAGGCAGCAGAAGAACAGGGTGGAAAAATATCACCCAAATCTGGAGCTGCTGTGATACGGATGAGGAGAGGATGAGTGGGAGGGATGAATGCGTATATGTGTGTGTGTGTGTGTGTGTGTGTGTTTGTGTGAAAGATGAAGGAGAAAGTGAAAGGGAAGTGAAGAGCTTTGAGATGGTGGAGATGAGAGAGGAGAGGAAAGGGGAGGTAAAGAGGGGAGAGGAGCGTAAGCACATGAGAGGGGAGAGGAGGAAAGACAAGGACAGGTGGGGAAGACAAAGTGAGCAAGCAGGGGAGGGGGCGAGAGAGTGCAGGAATGAATGGAGAGAGAGAGAGACAGAGGGATGTATTTGTATTGATGTATTTGTTTGTATTACGTATAAATGTGCATTACTTCCTGAATATGTCTTATTTGTGTCAATGTGGCAGTCTGAGTCTACTGGATGAGTGTGTGTTGGTGTGTGTGTGTGTGTGCAGTATTAGCCAGGTTTCTTCACTCCGTCTTGGCTTCGCTCCACTCTGGACCACGGCCAGCTGGCAGGCGGCCTACAGGAGCTCCCTGACTTTAATTCGTAAAAACAATCATTTGTAGTTGAGTGCATGTGGGTGTGTGTGTCTGAGTGTGTGTGTGTGTTCAGACATCAAAGCTGAGCTGTGCAGATACAAAATCTGCCTCTTAGATACACAACTTTTCCTTTCGCACTATCACAAATACTCATGCCGTCTTTCAATCCACAGCTCTCACCCTCTCTCTCTCCCTCCCTCCATCAGCCTCTCTCTCTCTTTCTCTCACCCTCTCTCTCTCCCTCCCTCCATCAGCCTCTCTCTCTCTTTCTCTCACCCTCTCTCTCTCTCTCTCCCTCCCCCCATCAGCCTCTCTCTCTCTCACCCTCTCTCTCTCTCTCTCTCCCCGTCTCTACTGTTGAACTCCTGTGAGTCTGATTTAAGACAGTCACTCTGGGCGACGTTAGTGCTCATTTTCGAGGCTTAGCTGTTGCTATTTATCGCATCATGAGCATCAAATGAGGCAGATGAACAGGAGGACGAGACACTTGTCTGGTTTTGGAGAGATTTGTAAGGCAGAGCATGACTCCGATTAGTCGGACCTGTGAACATAAGTCAGGAATTTATTTTGTGATGCTGTGTCTGACCTAGAAATCCAATGTGATTTTAAACATTAGCTGGTGGCAGGGCAGCCTGACTGAGATCAGGACAGTCTGACTGACACTACAGTCATATGGATTAGTCAGGACTGTAGACTGATTAATGTTGTTGAGGACAACATCTGGACTGCAGTTTAGAAACAAACTCTCTACACTGTTCAAAATGAACAGTGATGACTTTAAACATTGCTATCATTTGATGGCAGCCAATGAAACATAAATGAATGCACATTAAAGCACCTCAAAAAATGTATTTTAAATGAAGCATAAATGAGAAAAAGGAAAACAAAACAGAAAAACCCAAAGATCCCAGTGATCGGTCTATGATGTCCCCATGCAGCAGCCACTGTTCCTTTTAAATCCATGGCCTTAAAAATATGTGATAAGGCTGAAGGTTGACAGTCTTTACAACTCAGCAAATATTTTTGAAACACATTTTTAAAGGCGATGCTGTCTATATTTATTTCCAAACTTGTTCAAAACTGCTGGGATGTGAAATTCTGACCGTTATCACTAGTTGGTTGGGAAATAAGGCCCGTGGCAGAAACTGTGACTGTGGAGGTTATCTGTCTGACACGCATCGGCTCCACAGAGAAGAAAAGAGAAATCCTCTTACACACACACGCATACCTGAGAGGGATAGATAACATGAGTCATGTTTAGTCTTGACCACAAACGGTTAACAGTCGTGACAGAACACACTCCACGTGGATGCGCACACTTGTGTGAGTGTGTGTGTGTCTCTGATCAGGAAGGGGGCCGTTGGAGGTCGGTTTGCCCAGAATGGGTCTTGAGAGGGTGGGGCTGTACTCATGAGGTTTGGGGCGGGGAGTCGGGGGTGTGACTGTGACTGTGACTGGGGACAGGATGATGGAAATTGGTATTAGTTTCAGTGAATCTGAAAGCTAAAACAAGAGTGAGAGATAGAGAGAGAGAAGGAGAGAGGTGGGGAGGTAGAGAGAGAGACAAACTGGAGTGCAAATGTACAAGTCTAGTGTGTATCGTAATTCACATCCAATTATGATGAATTGAGGTGTTTGTTTGTGTGTTCAGACAAATTAGATTTTTCTTTTATTTCATGTTTTTCAGCTGCTAAACACAGAACCGCACACTTCCTGTCTACACAGACAAACGGCTGCACGCCGCCTCGTCTAATGTACCTCTCTAGTATGTAGTGTGTGTTTGGCCTCTGCTCCATGTTGGTTAAACCACTTCATAGCTCCATCTCAATCTTATTTCTAAACCAAGGCCCAGGATTAAGCAGAAACCAAAGCAGCGCTTGAGTGTGTCCTTGTGTGACTGCGTTCATGTCCTACCTTCATGGGAGTGGGGGAACCATATTGGGGAAGCGCTTGAATGGGGTCCAGCCCTGTATGACGGGGAAGAAGGGGAGGCCGCAGGTCCTGAGGGGTGAGGAGGGTGAGAAGGCGGAGAACCAAGACTGCTGGCCAGAAAGGAACCCATGAAGGAAGCACCTGTGGAAACAAGGAGACACTGAAGGTAAGATGAAGGAGCCCAAATCGCTAAAGAAATATTAATAAGAAACATCTCATCAGCCAATCAAGTTGCGACAGTTTGAGCATGCAGGTGTACAGGTGAGGTCGAGGGGTTCTGCTGAGGTTTGAACCATCCCCGTGATAAGGCAGTAGAAAATATCCAGTGAACTGCAGGTTTCAGGGCAGAAAAAAAGCACACACCGTGCAGATGCCAGTTGTCAACAGAGGCAACAGCAACCAAAATAACCACATGTTACAAGCAGTCTATGCAGAAGAGCACACCAGGTGTCACTCCTGTCAGCTGAAAACAGGAAACTGAGGCTACAATCCACACAGACACGCCAACATTTGACAACAGATTGTTGGAAAAGTGGCGACTGGTCTGATGAGTCTCAGGTACTAATGCCATGTTTCAATGCTTGGGTCAGAAGCTGATGTAAACAACATGGAAGCCTGGATCCATCCTGTCTGCTGTTCAACTGTTTGGGCTGCGAGCGCTGCTTTAATGGTATAGAGATAGACAGTAGAGATGTTTTCTTGGCACCTGCAGGGCCCAGACCAGAGTTTGTAACCCTCAACAGCAAAAGAGACATTTTTATCATTTTACCAATAAATAATATATACAGTATAATGAATTACTTCACTTAAGTTTATTAAGAAACTCTCCACATTTTCCACAAGACATCATGTAGATGAACAGTAACTTCATGTAAAAGTAAAATAAAAGTCTTGACATTTTTCTATGAATTCGACACAACCAAAACCAGGTGAGAAACACTGACAGCCACCTGGTAATATTGGACTTTCTGTTCCAGCAATTTATAGAAAAATATTTTGTTTCATGATTGTGATAAATAACATTCATCATCAATCATGATTTATGCAATCAAATACCAGAATTAATGGTCAGTTCTCGTTGTTTTGTTAGCAAACAGCTAACAATTTTATAAAATACATGGGAAATTGGTTAAAACTATATTTATGTAAAAACACTATATCAGTGCTATAAAAAAGTGTAGCGCAAAGTTATTATTATTATTATTATTTATTTTTGTAACTACTCAGCATTTGTTTCGCATAAAAAATTATTATCGTTTCCAGCACTTAATATTCCAGTGCATTTCGGCCAATCGTGGCCATTTTTCTGTAAAGTTAAACAGTTACAGTTATAGTTATGTGTGTTACCTCATATTTTCGGATTATAGTTGGCCATGATTTTGTAGGTGTTTTTTTTTTCTTTTCTTTTCTGTCCTTCGGTCTATTTCTTAAAACAATCAAACAAAAAAAACCATTCCATTTCCCGATAGCTAGCTACACGCTGGCTCTAGGAGCAGAGCAGAACGTCAACAGTTTATGACGTCGTCATGACGGAGTTGCATGCGTCAAACAAGGTGCGTTCACGTCCCATCGGAAACTTAAGAATCCGACGAATAAAAATGTTAATATTTGGATTATTAACCGTATTAACAACCACTTCCCTATATGACGGTCAGTGATAAATCATTAAACATTTATACTAAGTGTACAGGCTGATTGTATCATGTATCTTGAATGTTTATGTTTAAACATCATCTTACATTGAGTCAGGCTTGACCTCTGACCTTGATGATAAACCTACAGCAACTGCAAAATAAATATTTCCAGCATCTTGTTATGTTTATTCTAGGAGGAATTAAGGCAAACACAATTCAAAAGATTAAAAAAACAGTAGTTAAATGCAACAGCAGAGAAGTTTTCTAATCGGTAAACACCAGACACAGGTGTCAAATGGTTTTAATCAAAAAACGCTGGTTGCAAATAAAACTGCATACATGCAACTGCAGAATTCTGGTGTTAGCAGTCCAACAGCAGCAGGTTGACTCATTCCTAAATCAGATTTGAGGAATCTCCTTAATTCATCTTCCTGATTATCATTCTGACTGAAACAAATTACTGCACATGTGAGGAGAAAGAAAATGATGAGATTCTGGACTCTTTCACCTTGAGTGTGAATGTAGCATACAGTGGGGGGATTAATTTCTCCCAGGCAGGTCATGAAATTTTCATTTTTCACCTTTGTCGTATTAAAACCACCCAGCTCTGTCGTGTCTCACACGTTTCTTTTTTTAACTGCTTCAAAACTCCTGCTGCATTCGGCAGAAAGATGTAACATTTAAGTGATATTAAAATATTGTGACTTTTTGTGATGTGGAACAAAAAGCGAGGTGTAAAAAGCGGAAAGTTTGTTTTAGAGCTTGGCAGACCCTCTCCATTTCATCTGCCCTAGAGGCATTTCCATATGTGTTAACTCCTGGAACTGAGTTCTAGAATGCTGTTCACTATTTATTACTTCTGTGGGACCCACGACCGGCCCACTGATCCATGGCTTGAGAACCCTGCAGCAGAAGCTACAGTAACAGAGCAGATCTTCACAGCTCTTCTCCTTGTTGGATGTTTGACAGGTAACATCTGATCACTCAGATACAGCACAGATCTAAATATATAGAAAACCTCAGGTTGAACCACTCACACATGACAACGTGCCAGCTCACAATTTCAATTTCAGGCTGTAACGCTTCCAGCCAACAGACTGGTTCAGTTTGGCTTCGTTAGAATGTATCTGCACTTATCAGCAGCACTCTCACTCAGTGGAACAACCCCAACAGTTGTAGAGGAAGGAGGAAACACATCCACAGGGAATCAGGTAATTAGTCACTACTGCAGGGAGGGAGAGGGGGAGAGAGAAGGAGAGAAGGGGGGGGACAGGGAGGCAGCGCTGGACGCAGCGACAGACCATAAATTCTGCCTGGCATCACAGACACGTACCACAACCACAACAGTCCACATCTCTCTCTCTCTCTCCCTCTCTCTCTCCCTCTCTCTCTCACACACACACACACACACAGAGACACGCACACGGCACCCTCACCTCAACCACGACCTGATGCCCTGACAACCACAACCACAAACGCCTTCAACTGCCAATTTCTCTTTTTCTCTCTTTCCACAACCCCCCCCCCTCTCTCTCTCTTCATTTCTTTAATCAAAAACACAAGCTAGACTTAGTTTGAAAAAACCTTTCAGACCCCTGAATTAAATTATGATGTGAAGGTTCTTCTTCCTCTCCTCCTCTCCTCCCCCCCCCCCCCCCCCCCTCTCTCTCTCTTCATTTCTTTAATCAAAAACACAAGCTAGACTTAGTTTGAAAAAACCTTTCAGGCCCCTGAATTAAATTATGATGTGAAGGTTCTTCTTCCTCTCCTCCTCTCCTCCCCCCCCCCCCCCCCCCCCCCTCCCCCCCTCCCCTCCTCCCCTCCTCTCCTCCTCCCCTCCTGTCCTCCCCTCCCCCCCCCCCCCCCCCCCCCCTCCCCCCCTCCCCTCCTCCCCTCCTCTCCTCCTCTCCTCCCCCCCCCCCCCCCTCCCCCCCTCCCCTCCTCCCCTCCTCTCCTCCTCCCCTCCTGTCCTCCTCTCCTCCTCTCCCCCCCCCCCCCCCTCCCCCCCTCCCCTCCTCCCCTCCTCTCCTCCTCCCCTCCTGTCCTCCTCTCCTTATTTCCTTTTTTCATTCATGCTGTGCACCACTGTAGATCAGCAGCCTTTCAGCCAGTCATAATAAAACACAGCTCTTATGAGAAAAAGCTGGTTTCACTGAGGCCCCTGGCAGTGCACACACACACACACACACACACACACACACACACACCTAATCTACTTCAATAGACCAGACAGGAAAGGCAGTTTTCAGCTGAGCAGCCATGCATGTCAGGAGTTACAGGAGGAATGGTGCAGCGAACTTCTCTTGTATTAAAGAAGACATTGAGGAAAATTAGTTGCATTGATTTCAAACATTGATTTCAAACGGCGTTGATATTGATCAGATACAAATACCTCCAACACTCCTTTCCTCTCCAGCTGCTCTTTCATCTTTCCCCCACAAACCCCCTTCGTTTCCCATCTTTTTTTCCATTTACTCATCTTTTCCCTTTTTTAAAAAAACAAACAAAACTGCCCTCCCTCTTTCCTGTTACCTCCCTCTCTCTCTCCTCTCTCTCCTCTCTCCCCTGCTTCCTCTGTTTTCTGTTGGCCAGTTGAGGAGAACACCACATTTGCCCACTCCCTCTGTCCTCCTGATTGGGAAAACCATGTCGGAGGCCAGTCGCTAACACCAGGCTGTTTCTGCTTCAGATTTGTTATATATATATCAAGTTTGTTTTATCCTGATCCCTGCACATTCCCATTGTGTCTGTCACAGCAGCATCCCCTTGTCGAGTTTCCCGCCAAAACAGAGAGATGAACGTGGATCTGCCGAAATTAGCCGCAAACTGATGAAGCTGCATCAGAAGATGTAGGCAGACGGAGGAGACACGAGACAGAAACTCTGTGGGTTTTCACTGATCAAGCACACATTCTCATCTCGCTTCAGAAACCAAAAAAAGAAACTCAGCCCTGACCCCAGCGGCGCCGTGATCATACAGCAAAATCACTGCATCTGTATATAATGTGTTCACAGTAAACACGGAGATAACAGCTCTCTGTGGTCTCTGTAGTGATAATTAAAGTCAAAAATGTGTTCTTTCCTGCCTCCCGTTTCTCCCAGTTGGCATCACAATCTGGAAAAACGTGTCACCACTCATGCACACAGGCATCAAACCTCTCACTGTTGACTTTCCAACGCAGTAAAAACGCAAATGATGGCTTTAAACTCAGGCTAATTCAGTCACAGCACAACTACAGCGTGTTTATTTATGACAGACTGTAATAACATTTTTTTTAAAATCCTGTCAAACTTATTTCATGTTATTTCGTCAAAGTGCTGGGCTCTCTTCCGGGTACATTTTTGTTACTTGGAGTGTTTTTTTAAGTACTCATGTACATCTGTGAGGGCCAATAAAAAAATCTCTGTACAATGGAGGAGGTCGAGGAGGAGACAAAGAAGAAGAAAAAGATAAAGATGAGGAGGGTTAAGAAAGAAGAGGAGGAGATGAAGATGAACGGCACCAATC